GGTACAATTGCACCAAATACGAGTTTACGTGAACAATTTATTTTCTACCTATATTTGAGTGAATGTACTCAGTTTTAGTTTAAATATAATCACAAATGAGTAAAATTATCAAAATGCCCAATATTGAGTAAAAATGTAGTACTCAATAATTTCACTCAATGCTTCACTCTGAACCTTTATTGCTTTCACCAAACCGATTTTTTTTACAGTGTAACAAACGGTTTTTATAACTAATTCAAAAACAAATCAAATCATGTTATTTAGGAACTCTCAAAATATAAGCTAGTTGTCAAATTTTGAACAATATTTTCTTTGGGAAATATTGACAAAATTCAATAAAAGCTCATTTTACCGTCCTGTATATTGAAAACAAAACACGACAGGCCCGTGAAAAAACTCATCGAATTTTTCAACATTCAATTATTGCAAAAACTTGTGGTTTGTTTCTTTGTAAACCTTGTGCAAACAATTTCTTCCAAATCTTCAAAAGTTCAGTTACTTGCGATTGAAAGACAGGGTCTAAGTATATCTATTTAATAACCTAGAAATAATACTTTCATTATTCAACATAGTGGGAATCCTACCCAAGGGGCCCATTTTGAATGGTCTCTGCCAGAGGCCTAAAATTTCCGGAAAAATTGTGCGGAGAAAAATGATAAAAATACGGAAAATTAGGAAAAATTATTACAGTCCAGGATAAACAAGTTTGCAACTTTGTTTGCCATATTATAAATGTTATCATATATTTAATAAAAATAAACTCTAGGAATTATTTTAATAAAGCAATCTCAAACCAGCTTCACATTTAGAGAAAAACGCATATTCTGAATATGTTCACGATGACCAAGAGTATATTGCTTTGGAATTAAAAAATTCAACAGCATCAAATAAAACAATATTTTTTTAAGCCCACTTTTTCAGTGCTTTTATGCCGAAAGGTTAAAGCTCAACTTAACATAAACTTTGAATATTGTTCTTTGAGACATAGAAAACTGATATTTTGTTTCTTTTTGTTGTTCAGTCATGAAAAATTTGAAGAATTTTTATGTTTTAATAAGATATTGACTTTTGTTAATTTATGCTTAAACTCGACTATTTAAGATTTGAAATTTTTCAGAATATAAAAGTTTTATTAAAATATGCCACCTTCTTATTAATTGATTTTTTTCAGGAAAATATATTTGGAAGTCTGCTCTTTCCAACTCTTTGCTTTGGAAGAATGATTTTCCCTGCGATTTTCTATTTGTCTACATTTTCTGCATTTTATTTTATATTTTTTAAAGATTTGCTAACAATAATAAATTTCGTCCTTTTTTCCTATTTTCGATCATTTTGTCCCAAAAATACGTACAAAATATAGGGGTTGAAAAATGGTACATATCAATAGACTGTCAATAATGGCAATTAAAATAAAATAACTAATCCATTTTTTCCATTTCCAACATTTAATATGCATAGGACCACTTTAGATGGTCTTAACCCTAGCTGCCAAAAAAAAAAATTTGAGCTAAAATAATTAAATAAATAAAATAAAAAACAAAATAGGCATTTTAGAAAACGATCCTGATTGGTTAAAAGGTAAAATGAAACATTTTTATTTTAAAAACTAAGTAATGTCAAGGGCAAAAAATATTTTCTGTACAGGAAAATACCCGTTTTCGTAAAGAATATTAAAAATTTTATTAGCGAACACAATTCAGAATTAAAATGTATTCCCATTTATTTAATATTGGAATTTATTGATTTCCTCTTATAATTTATGTTTGTCCCAATTTGGTGCTAATCATTTTTAATTTGAGTAAAAATTTTGATTATGAATTAACTTTTTTCAATACAAATTTATGATATTTTATTTGCAGGCATTTTGCCTATACAGAAATGACAATTTTTTTAAATATTACATTTTAATCACATTGAATTGTTTATCAAAATGCCAAATTTCGACTCAAAAATTTTTTGTCATTCGCGCCGGTTTAAAGACCATCTGGAAACTACCTGTGCACAACAAACGTTGGAAAACGATTGATTTTCTGTGTTTCTTGACTGGCATATCATTGTGTTCTAAAGATGAAATCATCTACTATCGAAATATGTAATTTAACGACTATATTTTACATTTAATTCCATATAAATTATATTTAATTTAACCTAACCCTACTATATTGCCAAACTTCCACTCGTGCGGTTTGTATTAATTGTATGTGTGTGTGTTCTTGATTTTACTTTATTTTCGCCGAATTCAGCGCAAGGGCCTTAAACATAACCAGTCCAACACTGTCCAAGAAGATTTGTAGTTTTAAATTTGTTCGTATACCGATACAAAACCAATTTCTACAACTTTACTCGCATTAGACCATCGCCCCTTTCGCAAGCACGCCACTGGACCGTTCGATTGCACTGCCCTTGAAAACGAAAGTGAGTGTGCTTCATCCAGCTAGCCTAGCTACGCTCTCTCCGCGCGCAACGATCAGGTTAAATTTAACATGAAGCGAGAATCGCTTTGCCACATTTCGGTACACCCTTTTCCTGTTTACTGGGTTCGTAGAGAATAAGAAACTAGCGGTTAATTGCGTTTTCAGCCTGTCTCCACGGTAACGAAACCCGAACATAACGTTGTACAGGATGTTTTGTGTTTTATGGTTTATAAAAATTACACAGGCCAAGACGTACAGGGTGGTCATTTTTAAGCTGTAGGTAGTTCATAGGATCTCCTTGATTGTAAGATATCCAGAGTTGGTAAAATTGCAGGCAAAGTTGGTCATTCTACTATTACTTGGAACAACGTACAACTTAATAAAATTTAGTAGGTACGTATGTTCATATGCTTTTTTTGGAAGGAAAAATTTTATTTGTTTTTCGTGACAAATATTAAAATTAAATAAATCATGAAACTGATGTCTTTGATTTTACGCCCTATCCAATGGTACAATAATTATGGTGCTGATACTAGAAAGAATAAAAAGTTGGCTATGAAATATGAGGACCTGGTAAGTTTCACGATAGTTAAAGCAAATCCATTTCCTAAATTTAATGATACCACTTTTGATAATAAAAAGGATGTGGCAAAATAAGAAATGTCATGTTCCGACACGATTAGACTTATCTTTTCATAATTAAAATGGAATGAATCATTTTTTTCTGGTTGTGTTGTACAATTCCCAATACCCGATATAATTTTGTGGTTATCGCAATCGTATACGATTAAAGCATAAGATGCGACAAATTTGCAAATAATTAATTTTTTTATTTTTACTAAATTTACGAAAAAAAAATGGACGCAAAAATAATTTAGACTCGTATTTCGCTATTTATTATTAAAAAAAGTACATTACACACTGTTTGCAAACAATGAAAAATTGAAGAAAACAGCGAATATACAAAGTGTATTTGATAATTATGCAAACATTTTCCCCGATTTTAATTTTCTGGATTGTTAATGGTAGCCTTGAATTTAATTATTCGTATAGAAACACAAATATGAATCATTTGAAAACAATACTTGATATTGTATTCATAATTCAGACATACTTTCTGCTAATTATGACAAAGTTAAAATACAGTTTGTTATCAGTTAATTATACGAAATTTTTAGTAGACCACTCATATTCAGCATCTTGTTTTGTTAATACTTAGTTGCAATGTTTATTTCATAATCAAGACATGGAGATTAGGCATTTTATCAGATCTTTTATTAATTCCCAAATTTTATTTTTTAAATAACTTAGTTCTATGAAAGGTTATTAGAATTCGATTTTCCATTTATCAAAGTCAAAACTGTTATATACCGTATAGGTAAACTAAAAAAAATAACATAAAATTTAAATCCCTTGTACATTTCCGTTATATTCTTATTTTTCAAATTCAATACTTAACGTACTAAATACTAAATGTATAATGCAATGCAATAAGCACGAAAGAAGTTAATAACAAAGAATGTCAAGATTATTTTTTGTTAAATAAGCAACATTTAATAGTTATGAATTTTTGACAAAACACAATTTTGTCGCCCAGACTCGAAAAAAACACAAAAATTTTCTTAAGCTAAGAAAATTTTAGATACATTTTTAATAAAATATTTTATTTACTTAAACTTTAATTTTGAAAATTAATACACTACTTTATTTTTTAAAAAACAATTTAGTAATAAATTAGTGTAAATATTTGTTGACAAAAGAATTTAAAAATATAAAAATTTTATGTTAAAAAGTAATACATTTCCATGTTTTAAAAATTTAGCTCTGGAATATTAAATTAAAAAATAAAAATAAAAATAAAAACTTGGTTGAGAAATACTATATGGTACAAAATCATCTCAATGGCCTAGCAATGATGATTATACACAGAAAGCTTATTTTTGACAGCCATGAAGATTTTATTAATAGATTATGTTTCTACCTAATTTTCGTTGAATTTCTTTATTTTTTTAGTTATTTGTATATTTTTTATGTATTTTTTTGTATTAAAAAGGTTTTATTAAAAATATTTCTAAAAAAAATAATATCTACACTGTACTTATTTAATGTTTTCAAATAATTTTATATTTACGCAAAAAATCTAAGGTAAGCATAAAATTAAATAAAATGCTTGAGGGAAAATTAATAATTACGTAAAACAAACATAGTCTAAGTAACTATTAAATCAACGAAATATCTTTAAAAGAAAATTAATAATTAAACTACATAATTGCATTGTTCATATAGCATTGCATTGTTCAGTAAACGTACAAATACGTTTACTGGCAATGGAATTTTTTAACCTATACTTGCTTAAAAATTACGATTTTGTAGCTGGTTCTTTATGCCTCTTATTAAATTGCAATTAAAAAAACATATTTACCTGTTTGACTTTTTTCCTTAAGTTATATTCATCACTACACTTTTCTTAGTTCTAAGTTCTAAGAATTAGTAATTTGCACTTTTGTCTTTTCAAAATACGTCTATTATAGTATCTGTAATATTATTTGGTTTTTGTTGTAAAGGGGATGTTAAAAAAATATTCAGTTGTAAAAAAAATCGTTTTTTATTAATAATCACTGTCGTAGTACAAAAAGCATGAGATTTCGTACAGAACCTGCCCTGTACCGTAGTATCACACATATAAGTGGCCTGAACTAAGTCTACGCCTATTCAGTTATCAAAACTTATATAAAATATCTTACACATCTAATATTATAGCCTCTTAATATAATAGAAACATACATGCTTTATTTTAAAATTTGTACGATCCATGCATGTTCTCTTATTACTTTCACAGAAAACACTCTAGACTATATTATATCACAAGAACAAAAATGATTAAAAATTCACCGGCTAGCCGGAGAGCAGCCGACGTTTCGGATGATATTTTTTTGGTATGGTTTTTGATTTTTGGTGAAACGACCGACTGCGCCCCGCACCACACCGGCCGAAAAAAAGCTTCAACTTTTTAAAAATACTTGAAACATTTTTAAGTACAACAGGTACGAATTTATATCATAAAATGCATTATTATAATACATATATCACTTATAAGATCACGGACTCCCCACGGGAATCCTTAAAGGGCCTTTTTGGACCATTCGTTCGCTTTTTAACCTTCCAAGAGGTTAAATCAATACTGTTAAAAAATAACTGTAATAACTAAAAACTAATAATCACGCTGCGCTTTTTTCACATTATTTTTTCCTTTATAATAATATAAAAATAGAAAAATTAGTACTTCGTAGGTGTCGTGCGGTGGAGGATTTTTTCAGTCTCTCGTTTTCAAAAAAAGCAATGCCTACTCACAAGCAGAGCCCGACCGGTACAACTTCTTCTTGGTGAGCTCGTACTCGGTGCTTATTATCACTGTACCACCCCTCGCAATCTTTCTGCAACAAAAAGAAATACACGTTAGCACCCCCGACTCGATGACCTACTTTCTAAGAACGAACGAAAATATAAAAAACTCGACTACTTACTTTAAGAACTGTGGTAGGAAGGCCCAGCCGGCATTGGCTTGTTTGAAAGTCAAGTACACCTCGAAAGTCGACGGTGTCGTGGGGTCGATCTTCACAAAACTCAACCGCCTGCAGTCCTCTTCACCCTCGAATAACAGATAGAGGTTCATTCCGCGAAGCCCGCAAAGTTCTGACTCCGATATCTGCAAGATATCCTTGGAAACTTTCTGCAGCAGGCCGCAGGGGAGCAGGACCTCGCCGCAGGAGAGGTGGGTCCTCTTCGCGGCTCTGATCTCCTCCTCCAGCTTCTTGGACAAGAACTCGACCTGCGCCCCGCATTTCTGGTCTTCCAGTAAAGGCCTGGGGTCGTAATACCACTCTGAGGAAGACAAATCAGCTGTTAGTTCGAGTTTCGAGAAACGCCGGAAAAGTTGGAATTAAAAATTATTGAAAAAAGCGTACTTACTGTTTTGTTTTTGATATTCCACGTGTGCGTTTTGCATGGGAAGTACCTCCATCTCAAATAAAATTTATAAATATAACACTTAAATAAATATCACAAAAAGTAACTGTGTGAAGCGGTGCTTCTTCCGTTCTGCCGGCAAGGTGCTTTGCAAGCACTCACTATTTTTCCACGCTAATTCTCTGCTCAACTGTGGCCGGTCCGCTTGTTCGGAAGTGCTTATATAGGTTCTCTCCTACTTTGTTCCGACCGTGCGCGAGATTCGTATCGGGCCGATTCGGAGGCGCACGTACACAGCACGCTTGATGTTTCTTTGTTCTCTGTACATGATTTTTTTTCGTCGAAAAGAAGTCGTTTTGTGGAACTGGAATAGCCCTTGCCGTATTTCCAGGTAGGTAATTATGTGAAGACGATTTCTGGAGGATTTCCCTGCGAATTTTGAACGTTGCATGTGGATACGATCGCCGGTAAATAGGTGGATGATGTAATAACTAGATAAAAAGCATAAACCGGTATACCGGCATAAATTTGCACTGTTTTTCGGCCTGTTACTTCGCCGGGCTCATGTTTTATTCCTCGCACGCCGAGTTCTTGATTCACACAAGTTCAATTTTGACGCATACATACTAATCGTGAAAAAAATGGTCAGACACGACAATAAGGCCCACATACAGCCAAAGAGATACTGCTGCGGCGTTTTGTTTACAGCTTTTTAACAAGTTAACAGTGCTTTTGTGAAGCTACGACACGTATTATGTAAAAAAGCGTAGAGTTCGTTTACTTTTTCAACGTGGATTGTGTTTTACATACGATACCTGTCTTATTGTTAGTTTTATAAATGTATGCTATGTTTAAATCTTTTAATGCTCCTCAACTAAATCCTTAACGAGCTTTCTCTTTTTATCTAAACTGAGATGTGTGCCTTCAAACAAAGAATTTAACTTATTCTGGAAGTTTACGCTATGTTGTAGTTTTATGGTAAAAAAACTAGTCGTACTGAATACATTTTAAACAAAGCGAACATGTTTTAATGCCCAGAAGTATGTTCTTTCGAGATTTTTATACGAATGTTCTGGAACAAAGGACTGTTGAGTTATCGATTTCCTTCGTGTTGAACTAACTCCCCTAGCACCTATACAGCTGTGTATATGTATATGCAACCGGTCTTTAGTCTCTGACAGATTTCTAGATAATTCGCTTGTTGTAATAATGTATAAAAGATAAAATATCGTATTAAAGTACAAAAAAGTCATTCACTTACCATAAATTTAAATATAAGATTTAAAAATGTATTTTAATAATACAAAATTACTAACAAGAGTCTAATTTAATTTTCATATTGCAAAATATTACGCATTGATCCAAAAAAAGAGACTAAAAAGCATAGCATTTGCTACAAATGGTTTTAAATCATGTTTAATAATGCAGGTATTGATCGGTCCTGTTATACCTACATGTTCTGACAAGTAGGTACTTGAACGAATTGTTAGGTCATTGTATGTTTAGGTGCGAAGTAAAAAGGTAATTTTAAAAACTTTTCCGATTTTAGTTGACTATGCACAGAATTTAAAAAGTCCAAAAATTTTGTATGATTTTCAAATAGCTGTAACTTGGAGGGAAATGGTCATAGAGAGAATAAAAAAAAGGAAATTGAAGCTTCAGGTGTTTAGTTCTCAGACCTGCAATTTAAATTTTTTTAGCATCAGCAGTTTTTGAGTAATCATAAGAAAATCAACGGGAAAAAATATTTCATTTTTTTAAAAAGGTCTAAACTTCAATTTTTTTTGGTAATTTCATCATAATGCTATTTTAGATAATTTATTTCTATTCAATTTGAGAGGTTCCGGAGCCTTATGCCATTACTTGTAGCTGAGTTCGACGATCAAAGCAAAAAAAATCATTTTTGAATTTGGCAATCAGTTACTCGGGAAATAATGGTCGTACAGAAAATCCAAGCAGGGTTTTGAAAACTGCAAAGCATTCTCTACAAATCGTTATTATGGGAAGGTAAAAAATTGCATAATTAGGGATATTTGAATAACTTGGCACAATTAACTTTGCAAATTATGAATAAACTAAAGATATCGACTGTAACTTTTCAGCCTCAGTGTCCTAAAGAATCCCTGATAATTTCAAAACGCTGATATTTTTTTCCTAGTGCCCGGAATGTTTAAATTTGTCGTTCTGCTGAAAATCAATGTAATAAGTAATTTTTCAGTTTTTATTCCGGTTACAACTCTGAAAATCACTCAAAATTTTGAGATTTTTTTAATATCCCTTAATTTCTGTGCCTAGTGTATAATTTATGAGAATACACAAAACATTTTATACTTGTACTTTATTTTCAGGTATTGTTATTTTAAATGTTATGCTAGAAACTCTCCCAAATTCTCATCAAATGAAGTTGTGTGTGCTAATATACTTACACTTTGATATATCTATAAAAAGTGAATCAAACCGTGATAAATTAATTATTTTATTTCTGTATTTTGATATCAAGTTGGTATTGCTTGTACATGTGACCTACTTAACCAAACATAGGAATCTCGAAAACCATGATAGAAAATGTCTTCAAAGAAAAAAAGTAGGTACTCAAGATATTTCGAAAAAAGCGACGCTAACTTTTTTATTTTATTTTAGAATTTTTTCAATATGATGTAAACAATATAAAAAAACAATATTTTCTTTGCAACTTCATTACTTTTTACGTTTTTCGACACTTATTGAGTATGAAATTTTACGTATTTATGATAACCTGCATCTTTGAAAAACTTAAAAAATGTTTTCTTCTTTGAGCATATAAATAAGAATAAAGAATGTAACAATGGAAGTGATGATGATTTTTCGGAATTAACCACAATGTAAATTGGTAAATATGAAAATACATCAGCTAAAACTGGTCCGCAAACGCTGTTAAGTTAACTAACAATAAAACTATTCCCATTTAAACATTTTTCTATCTGCTATGGTGTCCTATATGTACCATTTTTATATTGAAAATGCTTTTTTGCAATAATCCATTTTTTCAACAAAAATTCGAAATATCGAATATATATATATATATATATTTCTAAAAGAAACGGCTTATTTTCAAAACTAACCCAATTTCTGTACTTATGTATATTCCAAACAAAAATTTATTGTCTTTCTTATCTGATTTTCTTCTAGAAATTTCGTATTTTTTTAATTTTTAATTTTTGTTACAAAACTTTTGGAAACAATAAAAATTTTAAACGACAAACATCAAAAGTGCTGACAATCTGTTTGTTTTGTCAGTAAACTTTTCAACACAAAATAAAAATGAGACGGAAACAAATTTTCTCTTGTTACTTTTTCTTTCATCAAATTTTAAGGTTTATTGCCAACAAATAAATCACTTACTACGCTTTTTTCTTTAAATAATATGCCAGGAAAATGCAATTATCAATTAACGCAAAAGTAACAACGAAATAATACTTTTTTGTCGCTGTACCGAATGGAATGATAAATGTAACATAAATCAAAACTCTAAAGCAAAACGGAGTCGTAAAGTTTTGGAACTGTGCTTACAGCCAAAGATAAATATCTCGTATTTCACAACAGAAAACTTTAAAACAGTGTAATGCGAGTTACATGATAAATTATACGCGTATATACAACGGAGTGAGTAAGCCTAGCAGCGAACGGATTCCGGGACAAAGACGGAAACCTATACGAAAAATCAATATTTGCTCACCTTCCTTTGTCAGTTACCCGTTCTATATAGATGCAAATCGTTCTCCTAAATACGAATCCCCGCATCGGAATTGGTAACAACCCACGAAAAACGACACTTCAAATAAATATTACACAGCACTTTCAGTGCGAAATCGATATAGTCGACTTTCCTTTGTTCCGGAGAACATCGATGCAAGTATGTGTTGTGATACAATGTTCCAACGAAAATGTGAAGAACAGTCGAGTATGTTTCGAGCAACATAAACAAAAATCAGCGAAAATATGTGCACAGAATTGACATGACAATTATTTTTAAATACATTTCATAGGCATTTATAAAATATGCTGCTAAACCGAAACAGAGACAGGAAATGTCGAAAAGTTTGTTGTGTACGAAAACCCTTTCGGTGTAAAAAAAATTCAGGGTGCTCGGAGAAACAAGCCTATAAATTGGATTTCCAAGAACTACACTATTTTATTAAATCAATATTAACTATAATAGATTTATGTCAGTATGATTCAAGTCATGGATTTTTTAATTGTTAATTTTTTATGAAGAACATATTTGATTGTAATACAGGGTGTCCCGAAATCCATGCAACAAAATTTGGTCTTAGATTCTTAAGATAAATTTAGGAGACCCGTATTTTTTCATTTTGCCAACTGCACCCTCTTTCGGAGTTACAGCCCCCTGAAAATCTCAAAACCATGTTGTACGAGAATCACTAAATTTGATACACTGGGGTTTTATGACATGTGGAAACTCACAGTGTTACGCGTTTCGGCGAGAAACTCCCTTAAGACTCTTTTTCGTGGGCCCCCTTGTGTTTGGAACCAGAAAAATGTGGTGTAAAATTAGATTTTTTTTTAAATTATTAGTTAGCTATTGAATTTAGAAACTTTTTTGTCTCTTCGTAAAACGCAATGTTTTTGAGGAAAATGGCGAATCACTATATGCATTCGATCACATTTTCACATTTTTCTCGAAAACATTGCGTTTTACGAAAAAAGTATACAGGGACAAAAAGTTTCTAAATTTAATGGCTTTCTAGTGGACTGATAATTTTTAAGAAATTTAAATTTGCGACCAAATTTTTTTGGCTCCAGACAAGGGGTCACACGAAAAATTGTCTTAAGGGGGTTCCTCGCCAAAAAACGTAGCACCATCAGATTCCACATGTCATAAAACCCCTGTGTACCAAATTTAGTGATTCTCGTACAACATGGTTCTGAGATATAAAAAAAAGATTATTCTTAGGGGCGAACTTCAGGGGGCTGTAACTCCGAAAGAGGGGGCCACTTGGCAAAAATAAAAAATACGGGTCCCCTAAATTTGTCTTAAGAATCTGTGACTAAATTTTGTTGCATGAATTTCGGGACACCCTGTACAGTTAATATGAAAATTAATAGCAACGAAATAAATCATTCCTGTCATTGAATCGAATGAGACATAAATTTGACTATTGATGGGACCTTATCCAAATATTGGGCGGCGAGGAGTACCGATATAG